CTAAATCTCAGTACGGATACAGAAGGCTAGTTTTGCATATGCCAGTTCACGCCATCTCTGGCTTAGTAGACGTGATATCCGACTATCGACCAAAGGGCGGGTGTACTGCTCAGCATTCCGCTCTGTCCTCCTTTATGGCTGTGAGACCTGGCCATTGAGAGTGGAAGACATGAAAAGATTAGCTGTCTTTGATCATAGGTGTCTGCATTCTATCTCCCGTGGGAAGTGGTATAACAAGCTGAGCAATATTGAGGTTAGGTGTCGAGTTCTAGGTAAAGAGGGGAAATCAATCGACGAGGTTGTGAGGTTACACTGACTGACCGAGATGGTCAGGACATGTGTTACGTATGCCTAGCCTAGCCATCGCCTTCCTCGACGGGCAATGTTAGCTTATATAGGGTCAGGCTAATAAAGAGCTAGCGGTGGTCAAAACAAAACATGGCACCAGTCAATGAAATCCACAACAGTTAGTTTAAGCCACGTAGGAAGGTGAAGACTTCCTGGTTGGGGTCCTCGGGACGGTTGGAGATAAATGGTGATATGGCTCAAAGTCGTTCTCAATGGCGCAGATGCATCCACTCCTTGTGACTTATGATTTCCAATGAAACTATATTGTTCTTCGTTATCACTATTCCTTTTGTTTCATATTCCTGTTTACTGTCTCTATTTCGTACTTATTCTACTTTCTTCTCTTGCTTTGTGTGCTACATGGAGTGTAGCGACTTGAACTTCTGCACATCGGTGTAAAGTTCTATGTCGAATACAGACAGACAGACAACACGGCTGACTCACACCAAAAATCAAAGATTTTATGGATTGATGGAAAGTCTTGATTTGACTAACCTTCACCTTTTTCCAGCCTAATTCTATTATTGTATTATTATTCTCTTGGGTACCGAGTAGAGCATAGGGTTTCAACATGACATCTCTAATTTGTCCTTTTTTCTGAAGTCCTCCGAAAAACGGCGTCACGATTACACATAGGCTGACATCTCCACTTCACACGATCTCCTCCATATCACCCTCACACCAACGACACACTCATCGCTTCCCATGGCCTGCATTGCGCCCAATGTCATTCGACGATCTCCTTATCGTAAGCCCAATACATCCCCATTTTCTTCTACATATTCATCAGACAATCAGGTCTTGGTTGGTTTGTTCCCAGTCAGAACTTCTCGTTGCCAATTCTTTCTGGCTAATTTATTTTCAGTATGGAGCCAGCGAAGTTGGCAGCTGTTGATAAAAGTCTGTAACTTGTTGTAAATGCTTTCCATGACAGGCAGTGAAAGTTTCTGACCCGTGTAAAAGAACCGACTGATTTCACATTTTGTGTTGAACAGAATCCGAGTCTTGCTGTTTATGCTGGCTGAGTGCAGTGCAGAGGATTTCCAAACTGGTTTCAGGTTGATGAAGGCGTATCTTTCCTTCCGATTCTAGTTGACTTTGATGTCTTCATCCCTTCCACTTGTAGTTGAAACCGTGCTTTCGTTTCGTTCCTAAGAAAATTATATATATATATATATATATATATATATATATATATATGCGATTGTACAGCCTGAGAACCATTGGTTTTACCCTAGTCTTGGAATCATCGGCAGTACGTACCCACCACCGGGGTTCGAACCCAGGACCTCCTAGTTACAAGGCAACCTCGTATACTATTGGAATCCCAAACTAGGCTGATGAAACAACTGTCCAGTACTCCCTGGTTTTCAATGGTTCCCTAACTGATATCGATCCGTGATCAACTCGTAAGAACACGTTTTGCTTCATAGAACCTATTACAGAAAAAATATGCAGAAGGAGGCGGAGATAGACTAGACAAAACACTGCAGAGACATTCAAATGATATTACACACAAAACCATCGAATGGAACTCAAACAGGAAGAGATGAGTTTGGCGTTCAAGGCCAACATAGAGATATATGCGAAAGGTAAATGAAAGCCTATAAGCAGTCCCAGATTCAGCTTTAAAAAAGATGATAGCCGTGAATACAATGGCAATGTTCTGCCGAAGACCTATATCCCACTGGTAACTAAAGCGACGAATAACAGCAATAGTAAAAATAATAATAACAAAGAATTAAGAATATGTAAACGATTCACGTCAAGTGGTCGGTCTTCGACATAGAACTTTGCACATATGTGCGGCAGTTCAAGTCGCCACAATCCATGTAGCACGCAAAGCAAGAGAAGAAATGCATAATAAAGACAGTAAACAGAGGTGTGAGACAAAGGTATAGTAGTAACGAAGAACAATACAGTTTAATTGGAAATCATAAGTCACAAGGAGTGGATGCATCTGCGCCATTGAAAACGATTTTGAGCCATGTCACCAATTGTTTCCAACCATTGGTTTTTACCGTCCCGAGGACCCCAACCAGGAAGTCTACACCTTCCTACGTGGCTTAGACTAACTGTTGTGGATTTCATTGACTGGTGCCATGTTTTCATTTGACCGTCGCTAGCTCTTTTCCAGCCTGGCCCTATATCACCTAATATTGCCCTCGAGGATGGCGATGACTAGGCATACGTAGCACATGTCCTATCCATCTCAGTCGAAGTAATTTCACCGTTTCGTCGATTGATTTCCCCGCCTTACCTAGCACTCGACGCCTAACCTCAATATTGCTCACCTTATTATACCACTTCACACGGGAGACAGAACGCAGACACCTATGATCGAAGACAGCTAATCTTTTCATGTCTTCTGCTCTCAATGGCCAGGTCTCACAGCCATAAGGGAGGATGGAGCGGACTGTTGAGAAGTACACACGCCCTTTGGTCGATAGTCGGATATCGCGTCTACGTCAAGTGGTTGAGAGCAATCTCCAGGAATCCTCCTATCTAGGATTTTCGCCAGTTGGTACACCTTAGCAACGAACTAATGTCACATCAGAGATTCGAATCCGCATCATCCGGTGCTGCATTCAGGGATGCCATTAGGGTTGACAAATGGCCTTCTATAAAACAATTATAGATACAATGACTGGTCATCAGTACTTAGAACTGTTGATGCTGTTCATTTACACGTCATCAACATATAACTGGGCATAGCGAAATATCTTATGCCAGTTAGTCCCTCATCAGTTCAAAAAATCTACCAGCTGGCATGATGCCTGCCTTTCGAGTCTACTTTAACTCCTCCACCCCACCGGCCGTCACTTTCAAATTAATCCGCATATATATATATATATATATATATATATATATATATATAAACACTAAAGTGTGCTCAGAGTGACCGTCAGTAAATAATACACGGGTAAATTTAAGATAAACAGGTGTCTCTAGAAGACTGTTCTTTCTTGTGATGATATAAAAAAGTAGTATTGTAGTTTAAACAATCATGTATTCGACTGCCAATCTGTATTCACGAATCTCCAGTTTGGTTACAGGATTTCATCATGAGCTGACACCGATTAGAGAACCATTGGATAACCAGCCACACGGAGTACTGGACAGCTGTTTCACCTTAGTCTGGGACTCTTTAGCAGTACAACCCACCGAGTTTTGAACCCAGGACCTAGTGGATCGTGACCAGTAGGGGGCAGAAGGTTGGGTGTGAGTACGAATACTCGCCGGAGGCATTGGCTAGCAATCACGCTATGTCCTAAGTTGGTAGAAGCTAGAATTCATGGGCCATTAGATCGGGCCCCAGTGGCTTAATGGTCCAAGAGCTCGCCTTATAACCAGGACGTCCTGGGTTCAAAACTCGGTGGGTTGTACTGCTAAAGAGTCCCAGACTAAGGTGAAACAACTGTCCAGTACTCCGAGGTTTTCCAATGGTTCCCTAACCGATGTCAGCTCATGATGAAATCCTGTAACCAATCAAACTAAATTCCCTACAAACCAATACTTGAAATCTCCTATTTATTGGTCAGCTCATTTACCGAACCGGAAGAGAATTTCCATGTACCAGGTGGATGATACACTACCCTACTTACCTAACCCTTCACTCAACATACTGAAGATCAAATGGCCAGAAACAATTGGCAACAAGAAATTCCGGCTGGAAACAAACCAACCAAGAGCTGACCGATGGCTGGCTAAAATAACTCTTGTGCATTTCATCGACTGACGAAGGCATGCTTCGATTTCACCACCACTAGCTAGCTCTTTTTCAACCTGATCCATCCATCAGCTAACATTTCCTGTCAAATGAGGCGATAGATAAGCATGCCTTATACCTATCCCAATCATCTCAATCGATGTTACTTCACAATCTCGACGACTGATTTCATCTACTTTCTTAACACTCGACCGAAGACTAACCTCAATATTACTCACCACATTATATCCCTCAACACCACTCAATAATGAAAAACAGTCCACCAACAAACATAAATACCAGTAAATCGCTTCGTAAAGTTGATTTCTAAAGCCAATGCCGCCAGTAAAACACTTCTCAAGCTAACAGATCGAACTCCGCCTCAACGCCCGTCGAGCTTCTAGATAGCAACATACCATCAATAGCCATCAACACAACATATGTAGCTTATCGTCAAATGTATGGAAATGCAAACGCGTTAGCTACAAACTATTGAACACATTTATCAATATATCTCAAACACTAAAGTGAACGCCAATCGTGACCAGCGGAGTACAGCACGTCGCGTTTGACGACAAATACTCACCACAAATGACACCGACTAGTGCTCCCGCTATATCGTGAATTGTCAGAAGTTGGAATTTATGGGCTGATCATTGCATCAGATGCCAGTGGCTTAACAATCTACCACCTCGCCTTGTCACCAGGACGTCCCTGCATTCAAACCTCACTAGGTGCTTTTCCCAAAACACTTCCAATTCAGGATGAAACAGCTCTCACTACGCTCACGTTTTACAATAATTCTCTAACCTATATCACCTCATCATCGAATCCTGTAAACAAACAAATTCCTGGTAACCAACACTTCAATGCTCAACTGTTCATCACGCAAGTAGACAGAAAAATTACAAAAACGTTCATTATTCAATACAAAACAAACACATTGAAACAATAATTTATACTTGTATACAATCTCCTCTTCAAAATATATACACATAGATAAATGCATCTTCTAGTTCATATTGTCTTCTGCACACAGAAATAGGCATTCAGAATATTAACTCAACCAAACAGACATTACAACTCTCTCTACTGATTACCAGTCAATTTGGACAAAATCAGATAATCAACAGCACCAACACCCTCATACATCGAAGGATCCGTTTCATCAGTTTTAAATCCAAGTTTCCGAAAAAATTTAACAGCATTCACATTCGATTTGAATACAGTCAATACAACACGATGCATATTGGCCGCCAGTGCAATCGACGACAAAATCTCCATCAAAAATGTTCCCACATGTAAATGTTGAAATTGACGATACAACTGAATCTCATAACAGTATAAAACTGGATGTTCTTCTTCACGTTCAAATCGAAAGCTGACAAAACCAACTGTTGAACAACACTCAGGTGTACCAGACACATTTCTACAACGACATATAATCAGCCAAGATTTCGAAGAGAAGGCTTCACCTCTTTTCATCTCAGCATTCCAACCCCATGAAGACGCTGTGTACATATCCTAAAAAGATCAGAGCTTTGTTTAACTCAAATCGAAGAATAATTTACTTGCATATTTTGTTGAAGTAGACTCATCAATTCATCGATAACCGAATCATCCGCTTTAGAAGCTCGTATACACTCAAGACTAAGAATTCCATCACTCATCACATTCAGATTATCAGGCGGTTCAAAGGACACATTCAGTTCATTTTTTATATCAGAGATTCTGTTCGCCTCCTCAACTATTTGCTTGGCTTTGGCTTTTCGAAAGGAAACTAGTCCACCACATTTATTATAATGCTTGCCCATTTTCATTTCATACTCTATAAGGAATAATGTGAATTCTGAAAGGTAAAAAATCAAATACATCAGCTGTATACCGATCATAAACGTTGTTATGATAAATACTCATAAACAGAGTTCGTAGGTGTCATGAAATTCCCACGACAAAAGGGAATAGAACCTGTTTTGTTCATCCAAAGAGTTTCATATGCATCTACTGCTGCTTTTATACGCAAAAATATACTACGATTAACTCTTTTATAGTTGTGTCAGCTAAGTGGAGATGTGCTTCATTGGCTTAAGTGTCCGACATTCAGTCAATGCGTTTCAGATTCGAGTCCGTCTCCACCCACTTCATCCTGCCCAGCTGGACACTATCAGTAGACCTCATACTAAAAGTCTGGCCCATAGTTCAGTGTTGGATAATCAGCTAACTAGCTGTGTAAGCCATACCATTTCTTACGGCGGATAACGTAGAGTTCGAATAAACACAGTATGATGGAAAAATTCGTTGGTATTATTTCTCAAGACGACTTTCCAAGCTATATGCAACCATCAAGTTAATTCAACTGTTAGGCATGCACAAAATAGTATGAACACCTTCTAGCTGACACTTTTCAAAACGTGATAATTCGCTAACTCAAGATTCAAATCAAAACTTACCAAACTACAGGCGACAAGGCATTCGCCACAAAAAAAATCTCGCCTACACCAAAGCACATAGTTATCATAAACGGCCATGCCACGAGATTACGACTAGCAGTGTGAGCTATAAGGCAGTAGAGTGGTGACAAGAGCTGCGTCTCCATACCTCCCTGTAACCAAACAAAGTTCACATGACATTCGATTTATTCGGATTCTCCAACCCATTTACCCAACAAGTTTAGAATTAAGGTTTCCCAGCTTCCCTAGGTTCTTACAGGTCGATGTCCATTAGTCCCAATGTAAACGCCAGACGATTGTATTCGACTGTCTTCGCCTGAAGACAGTGAACAATACAACTTCCATGGCACAGGCTATGAACACGTCGCCACACCAGAGCGCATTTCATCATCAGGAAGACTGAAGTCTACCCGACACTGGTCGTTACACGTCGTTTATGCAGGTCCCTATTATGTAGCATACCTCAAAATCAATCGAATCAATTCAATCAAACACATTCACACACACACACACTATCTTCCCCTTTGCAATTTCAATACTTTATTATTTTACGCATATTCTTCAGTGCGGGCCTATTCAATCATTTCATCTTAATATTTCTCCACTTCAGTTGATCTCTCTCTCCCTCTCTGTGGGGTCTGAAATTCCACAGACGAGATTTGTGATAGTCTCCATTAAATTTCTCCTCATTTTATCCTTCACCAGTTATAACACAAATAAAAAAACTACACTGTGAAACAATTTGGTCATCCAAGCACAGACAGGTGAATGTCTTCACATGACCACAGTGTTGGCGATTGTACACACTAAAACTAGATGCGATTGACTCCACCACTGTGGATAAGGTTTTATTCTGATAAATCACACAGTATAGTTGTACAGTAATCTTAACTGATGACGTACGTTTCGAGCACAAATTATCGCTCAATCAGGTAATATTACTGTATAACAACACTGTGTGATTCATCTAAATAAAACCCTATCCATAATGGAGTTATACTCTACCACAGTTTTTTTTCCTTCACGTTCCCCAGTGGAACATAGGGCCACTTCAAGCTAGTGGTTTGAAGTTTCTGTAGCAGTGTTTATTTTACAGGATGGGGTTACCGCTAGCCTCATGCCCAACCTTTCCTCTTCACTCGCATTATTTCTGGCTTAGAGAAGTAAAGGAGTGCGTCGGTGGCCGGAGATCGAACCCCGGACCGTGTGCATGGTCGGCGAGCGTCCTAACCGCTATGCCACTCTACCACAGTGCCCAGGTTTTACACTTACATCAATCAATATCAATAGATGAGATTCGTTAAAAAAAGCAGAAACAATAATAATTCTCCAGTATTCTCCATTTATCAGGTCATTCGCCTTAATCCAATTTGAATATTACAGAAACAGTCAGTTTTCAGGATTTGATTATAATTGATCTAACACTTAAACTGGTGACTGACTGACTGTGGTTTCCACACAGAACTTTGCACAATAATGCAGCAGTTCAACTTGACACACTCCCTCCATATAGAACACAAAGCAACACAACAAATCAAAGACACATTCAAAAGACACATAATAAACAGAAGTGTAACTCAAGCAGAAACAATAGTAATGTGGAGGAACAGCACACTTTTACTGGATACCACAAATCACAAACAATCAATACATCTCCGAAAAGACATTGATAACGATTTTCAGCCAATTGTCTCCACCAATTGATTCTTACCATCCTCAGGACCCCAACCAGTCAGTCACGCAGTCCACACAACCCTACGTGGCTGACTGGCTGGTTCGAAATAACTCTTGTGCATTTCATCGACTGACGAGGCCATGTTTCAGTTTGACTACCACTAGCTAGCTCTTTTCCAACCTAATCCAACCTTTGTCAGCTAACACTACCCGTCGGCGAAGGCGATGGCTACGCATACCTAACACATGTCCTGAACATTCAAATTTATGTAGCCTCACAACCACATTTAATGACATTCTCACATTGCCCACAACTCCAAAGAAGCCTAACCTCAATATTTGTCACCACATTATACCCCTCAACACCAGTCAATAATGAAAAACAGTCCTCCAACACTCATAAATACCAGTAAATCGCTTGGTAAAGATGATTTCCAAAGCAGATAACGCCAGTAAAAAATCTGTCAAGCTAACAGTTCGAACCGCGCTTCACCAAACATCGAGGTTGTAGATAGCCATGTACCATCAAAATCCGTCAACACAATACATGTAGCTCATTGTCAACTGTATGCAAATGCAAGCGCTTGTTGACTACTGCTCACAGTTAATTCGCTCAGTCCGCACACAACAACAACAACAACAACAACGTTACCTACACAGTATTCAACACATCTATTAATATATCTCAAACACAAAATTCAATGTCATTCATGACCAGTGGGCTAAAGCAGATCCCGTGTGACGACAAATACTCACACAACCGATGACATCGCCTAACGGTTGCAAAAGTTGAAATTTATGGGCTCGACATTGAATTGGCTCTACAATCTAACAGCTCGCCTGGTTACCAGGAAGTATCTGCATTCGAACCTCACTAGGAGGTATTCCAAAACACTCCCAAACCACGATGAAACAGCTTTCAGAACTCTCACGTTTTACAATAATTCTCTAAGCTATAACAGCACATCATAGAATCCTGTAAACAAACGAATCTCTGTTAAAAGACACTTCAATGCAAACATGTTCATCACGCAAATAGACATAAAAATTACAAAAACGTTCATTATTCAATACAAAACAAACTCATTAAAACAAAATTTTATATTTGAATACAATCTTTTTTGAAAATATTTATACATAGATCAATGCATTCCACACATCCTCCTGTATGGTTCTGTGTATTTGCATGTAGTGCTATAGGTGAACTATTCCTTAGATTTCTTAACTTATTCGGGTCAACTGATCTGGATCTTGTTAGGTTGTTATGCTCGGCTAGTCTGACTACGCCTGTTCTACTACTTTGACCCATGTATTTGACCTGACAATCATTGCAGACGGGGTTTAGATAAACTAAGTGGTTTTGTCTTATTGGCTCCACAGGATTGATTCTTTAATCGACAAAGCTTCTTTCTAATTGAGTTTGTGGGTGGTTTGAATACCGGCCACTTTTATTCCTGCCAGCATTGTTAACAATTCTGCGTAAGCTTGTTCCCGGCGTTCCTTCTTTGTATGCAATTACTACTGATGATTTTGATTCCTTACTGTTGGTGTTGTCATTATCTAGCACATGTTTGACATGCATGTCGTCATTAATATTACTTATTATTGTTATTATTATCACCACTATCACTACTATCATTATTTATTTTATCTTTACATTTCCCTAGATACTTTCTGACTAATTTATCAGGGTAATTATTAAGTTTCAAAACTTCTCTTATGTGTATCACTTCCTGTCTTAGATTTTCCTTGGTGCTACTTAGTTTTTGTGCTCTGTTACTCAAACATTTCACCAATTCTATTTTTACTGACATACGATGGGATGATCGAATGTCCAAATATCTCTTCGAATGTGTGGGTTTCCTGTAAACACTAGTGTTTCACTTGCCATCTGCTTTCCTTGTTACGCTACAATCTAACATTGGAAGCTCCCTTTCCTGACTTTCCAATTCATCATAAGTGAATTGAATTGCCTCCACCTTTGAGTTAATGTGTTCGAGAAATCTATCTATATCCTGTGTTCTAAGTACAGTGAATGTGTGTCATCTGCATACCTCCACCATACGTTTGAAGTGGGTCTGAGCGTTTCAATCGCTACGTTTTCCCACTTATCCATGAATATGAATATATTTGCTGAAACTGGGGATATTGGTGACCCCATGACAACTCCCTCAGTTTGTTTGTATATTTTCCCCTGGAATTTCAATACTGTGGAAGTCAGGCGTAGCTGCACTCCCAGCATTATGTCCTCAAGTGGCACTTTCGTTCTAAGTTCGAGTTCTTGGTCAGAAATGAGCTCGTTTCTGACTGCCTCTATAGCCGTATATTTATTGGTCTACGTGTGTATAAACCGACAATGTCAAAACTAACCTTTTTTCGTTATTATCTAACTTTAAATTATCTAATCTATATTTTAGTTCATAAGAATTTGTTAGTCTAGATTTTGAGTGACTTTTAAGGGGATTTAATACCATAGCTAAATATTCTCTTCTGCCTTAGTGTTTCAAACTAATTTCTGTGGATTATAAGTTGTATCAACTAAGCAGTGTGTGGGGATATTTTCTATCATCTTGGGAAGATTGTCAGGCATGAGGCTAGCAACCCCACACTGTAAACAAAGTTGCTGCAGAAACTTCAGCACGATGAGTTTCCTTGCGACAAAAGAAAAAGTCTGTGTGGGGACATGGAACGTCCGCACCATGTACGAGACTGGCAAAGCTGCCCA